CGGTCCTACGCCACCCAACCCGCTCCGAGCTGGTATCGAACTGGCGACCTTCCGCTTGGGACTCGGTTGCTCTATTAAGACCATGACCTCTAGTGACCGTCGCTAGAGCACCTTTAGAGGTCAGAGGAGTTAGGTTTCCCTGCACAGCACTTACTAGCTGGCCTCTTATGCAAAAGAAATATAACAAGACGTTATGGTGCCAGAAACTTGTATTATTGTCAGCTAAGTGAACGAGTCGTTCATAACAGAGATTCATTCACAAACTAATCACTCCCTCCGTCAGTATGAGAAGTAAAAGCAGGAGAGGAGGTGCGTTTCAGGACATGATCAAATTTAATTGGGAGCGTGGGTAGTACATTTCCATACACACAAACACAAGCTTTTTGTCAGGAATGCCCGTGTGATCACTTATCCATCAATGTAGATAAGTGATTTCAAATGATAAGTTTCGTAACTAAAAAAAAAAAAATTGCACACTGACCTCCGGGAAAACTCCCGATCATATATATATATATGTGTATATGTGTATTTCTCTAGCTCTAGATGGCCACAGTCCTCCACTGCAGCTTGGTCTCACATTTATTTCAAAGGAGTGCTACCCTGTACTAAAATGGCGGCTCTATTGACGCATTCCTTCCAATAGACAACAACAGGGTAGGCGACATCTAATGTAAATATCTTTGAGGTTTAGGGAAGGAGGAAGGGTTGGTCGGTCGATTGGCCGGTCGCCCAGTCAATCATTCAGTCATTCAGACACACGGTCGTTCGACAGCGGCCTCTGGTGGATTTATGCGAGAACAGCGCGGGCACAAACGGCACTCGTGAGAGACATTTCAGATAAGAAAAAGTGCACACAGCAGCCTCTCGTGGATTCGCGAAAACAAACACTGCATAATGCGTACCTCCCGGGATGTATTTCGCGGTCTCCAGAAACGTCTACGCGTTGGTTCGGTTTAGGGTAGTAAGCAGGTGGGCGAGTCAATCGGTAAAATTGGTTGGGTTTAGGGAAGGAGGAGGGTGGGTCAGTCGATTGGCCGGTCGCCCAGTCAATCATTCAGTCAGACAGACATCGGTCGTTCGACAGCAGCCTCTAGTGGGTTTACGCGAGAACAGCATGGGCACGAACGGCACTCGCTAGAGACATTTCAGATACGAAAAAGTGCACACAGCGGCCTCTCGCAGATTCCCGAAAACAAGAATTGCAGAAATACGTACCTCCCGGGATGTATTTCACGGACTCCAGAAACATTCATGTGACTACGTTTTCAGAATGAGCCTGGGTTGCCAAATGCTGTCCATTTGCTTCACATTCATTAATCAATTCTTTTCTACTTGCTCAGAAGCCAAGCATTCTGGGTTGACACCAAAGACAGAAACCGAACTCTTGAGTCTGGTCGGAAGAGTGTCAACACTCAAGTACAGTCTCCACCCACACCCGAAACACAGAAATAGAATATTTACTTGTACATAAAAACGCTGTACACTTTGCTTTAGCTATCATAATGTAAAAAGACGATAATTAGTCAATAACTATACTGTTTTCTAGGGCAGTGTTCATAAAAGTTACTTGATGTTACACAAATACGATTACAAATAAAAGTTTGCTTGTTAAAATATGAAATCAATATCTGCCAAATATCCCTGGCCCTTCAGACATTCACACACCCTAAACATGGAAAAACGTATTATGCTATGCTATGCGTACGTATAGCAATGTAAAAATGCAGAAGCACAAGTGCTCTCAGATGTCATTCAAAACATAGTAGTAAACCAAGACACGTGTGGAACCAGTGGGGTGAATCACATCTTTAAAATAAAAAAGGAGCTGTAAAATATAGTATGCACATGAATTAAAGAAAGAAAAAACAGCCACAATATCCTTCGCTAAGCCACACCCAAAAACCGCCACACTCCAATCGTGGCTTAGCAACCGTTGCTTTGGGCAGGAGAACTGTCAAGCTTTCGAGCGAGGGGAAACAATCCAAAGCGTTGTGCAAAGTTTGGACAGGATGGTGGAAGTTTATTCCTTTCCAAAACCCAAAAGGGGAAAAATGCCAGCATGGATTAAGCTCTGTGAGGGCCGCTAAATGAGCGGGGTTAAGTTGGATTTGTTTTGACGGCAATAACTCGCACACCTCTTACCCTAAACAGATCTAAACTGTATCCTACAAAAATACAAAGCAGGTTATGTTTCACAGCCGTCTTTTTCTTGTTTTTCCTTGAGCACTGCTCCGTTTAAGCCCTCGCCATAGTTGTCATACTAATAGCAATCATATTTCCATCTGTTTCAAGCTACAGATATTTAAAACAACAGATGCGATCCGAGATGTGATCACAAACTGAGCACTGGCGATCAATAAACTTCAATATACTTCAGCTGTTTTTCAGTAATTTATAAGCCTAATGTCCATGTCAGAGCTACAATTCACTGATGTTTTCGTAGTCACTGGTGACAGTGTTATAGCAGGTTGGTGTCTGCTTTTATATTTGGGCACAATCCCAATTCTATTTTTGTACCCTTACCCCTTGGCCCTTGTAACTGAGGGTTAAAGGGAAGGGCTTCAAAATTTACCCCTAAGAATTGGGACAGCACTACATCACCTGCACACGACATCATATGTCCTTGCAATCTCTTGCTTCCTATGAGATCAGACGATTGCGACTGCTGTAGTTATTGCAGTTGCGTTATTTTTTGGTATTTATCTTCAGGAAATCACTGAAGGCATATATTATGTTATCATAAAGATCTAATGTAGCAATCGTAATAGTACTCTGCATTTACACAGTGGCCAAATTCATTAATGTAAACAACAAAAACAACATTAACATTATAGCAGACACTGTAAACAGCTCATTGATAGCCACTAGACTTTTCTGACAGGGTATTCCAGTGTCATTGAGTGTCAGAAAGTCGTGAGACTACTATACAGGCTTTATGATTATGGATTAAAGATCGCGAATAGATCGCAAAATTTTGCGGTTTTTATTTTAGCCTTTTTTTTTTTTTTAAAGCATGATGTTAAAACACGAACATGGCTATGAATATATTAAAACATGTTTGTTTGTTGTAAAAATTCGTAATAATGACAAAAAATACTAATTAGTGGATCTCCTTACTTCCGGATGCAGCTTGGTTGAGTGTGGTCCTGAAAAATCTTCGTTAGCCTTCAAGCTAAAGAGAATTGGGACAACACTACCCCTTCATGGGCACGCGCAAAACGAGGGGTAGGGATAAGGGGAAGTGGTAAAGCTGATTTATACTTCTGTGTCAAACACCGGCGTATGCTACGGCGCTGACGCATAGCCCTTCGCCGTGGCCGTCGGCGTCGCTGACGTGCACCTCTCAAAAAATGTAACTACACGTTGCAACGACGCGTAGCGCAAGCTCTGTGATTGGTTATTTTGGTAGCGCTGACGAGTCTGGGCGGGACCGAGAGCCGCGTGAATGGTGCGAGCCTGATGGAGTGATTGTTTACAAGTGTGGAGTCCTGTGATGGAGCTCCGGATTGAAAGTTTTGTTTTGTGTTTACCTCATAGTTAAAGTTGTTGCACGTCCGATGGTTCCTGCCTTAAAATGAGCGAGTTTCAGCCACTTGTACATCCTGGAAGTGTTCAGGAAAAGCAAAACAAACGCGAAGAAACTCGACACAAGGGAAAATTTACACCTCACTGCCATCTAGCGTTTCGGAAGTGTTAATGCAGACCAACAGAGACAGCACGCAGAAGTATAAATGCACGGCTACGCGCGTTGCATGCGCCGTGGGTTACGCCGGTCACTTGACGCAGAAGTAAAATCCAGGCTTAAGGGGTAGAATTGGGATTGGGCCTTGGTGTCCGACTAATATTTGCTGGTAGGGAAAATCTATTTGTTCACTTCAGCTATTTATACTTTGAGTGGCATTTTAATGTTTTTATTTCTTCCACTTAACTGCAAATTAAAATAGAAACGGTATAAAGAGCACACAAACAATAGGTAACAGTTAGGTAATAGGTATTCTACATTGTTATGGGTCAATGATGCCAATATTCGGCACAAATCCATCAATTTCCCCTTTGTCTGTTCTTTCTATAACAGAATTATGTATAAGCACTGTCCATGCGTGTTTCCTGGTCAGTTAGTAACGCTATATTTCATTGCACAACAATAATCTATCAGGCTTTTTAGCTAAAAAGGAGAAATCACGGTTTAATAAGTTATTATTAGATTATTTTTAAATGTCACCTCTTCTGCTGTGCATGAGCTAATCTGTTGAATGGTCAGCGTATGAGGCAGCTAGGCTAACCTAGCTTCTAATCAGTTGCCTATTATGTGGTGAATATACCCCTGTAATGCATACTGCAGTCCTTTTTTATCTGGTTTTCTCAGATTTCTCACCTGTTCGCCAAAAATGGCTAATTATATCCCTGGGAATATCTGACACCAGCGTATATGTATTGTAATAGACGTGCGAGGCACGAAAGCTTGACAGGCGTAGCAACATTAACTAAAGAGGGCGGGGCTTAGCGAAGAGTTAATTGATTAAGGAATATCTAAAAATCAGCACAGATAGATTGCGGCTGACAAACTAAATTGTAAAGATTAAGCTGATTGGTTTACTATTATAATTTGTTTATTATCAGCAGCTTTGGCATACGTATCATTGTGCGAAAACAGGGCCGTTGTGTAACATCTTAAATGCCATTTAAAAGTTTGGATTAAAAAAAAGGATTACTCAGTTTGGCTTTATAAAGTCACTTGCTGGTGTTAATTGTAAGAACTGTAAAATTTCGGCATGTCTTTTTCTACAGAAAATGTACAAGGTTAAAAAAAATTACAAAATGTTTGCTAGAAAAACAGTCAGTTACATCAATTACATCATAAACAAAGGAGTTGTGCCTTACCCGGGAAACCACCTCTCTGGTGAGAGTGGAAGTGGTAACAACAGACTGTACCAGGGACTGATCAAATTTGCTGCCACCTTCATCAAAGCCCACTTCTTTTCCTTGCTTTTTTTTTTTTTGGTAACCCTCCTATAGAGTAGAGTAACCCTCCAAAGAGGTGAAGATGCCCATAATTAACATTGCATGTTTAGAATGAGGCAAGGTTTGGGTTAAAGGTCCCTACATTAGGCCATTAGTAGGGCCCCCAATAGGGCCTAGATCTGATCCACTCTTCATGTAGTACTTTTCCAGCTTAGCCAGGATGTGCTTTCCATATGTATATTTCCGGAGAGTGGCAATATGTGGCCGGATCTGGAATTGACAAGATGAATTGGTTAAGATTCTATCCGTAATTATATTAACTATAACTTAAAGTAACAACATGTTCTGTGCTTGTACCTTGTGCATGATGATCTTACGCTGGGCAGGCTCAGCCATGTCAATCATTCTTTGAACAACATAATTTGCATACTGGTCCTTCATCATGGTGTAGAGAGCACTGTGAGGGCCGTCCTTTTGACAGCAGACTTCATCGATGAGCAGGGCCCTCTCTGCCCGGGATGAATGAATCACACACTTCTCCACAACATTGCTATAAATGGCAGACGTGTATAGAAACATGTTAGCTTTCAGATATAATCAGTTATACAGAATAGAGAAATGAGTAAAGTAATGCCTTTTTTGTTAGTGAAGAACTGTGTAAAATGACTTTAAAAATCAAGTTTAAATACTTTTTTTAGTAAATATAAGCCAACTGAAACACATCATTCCTTACAAACTTTGCACTATCAGCCTCATTGTCATTTTACAGAGGAACAAGACAAGGCTGTCCTCTCTCCTATATATTTTTTTTTGCATTAGCAATGGAATCTTTGGCAGCAAAAGTTTATTTGCTTTTTTAATTAATAACAGACCCCAATATCCAGTTGAAGTCAGAATTATTAGCCCCCTTTTAATTTTTATTTTCTTTCAAAATGATGTTTAACAGAGCAATGAAATTTTCACAGTATGTCTGATAATATTTTTTCTTCTGGAGAAAGTCTTATTTGTTTTATTTCGGCAAGAAAAAAAGCAGTTATACATTTTTTAAAACATTTTTGGAACAAAATTATTAGTCCTTTTAAGCTATTTTTTTTTCGATAATCCACAGAACAAACCATCAATATACAATAACTTGACTAATTACCCAAACCTGCCTAGTTTACCTTATTAACCTAGTTAAGCCTTTAAATGTCACTTTAAGCTGTATACAAGTGTCTTGAAAAATATCAAGTAAAATATTATTTACTGTCATCATGGCAAAGATTAAATAAATCAGTTATTAGAAATAAGTTTTTAAAACTATTATGCTTAGAAATGTGCAGAAACAATCTTCCGAGAACAGAACAGAAATTGGGGAAAAAAATAAACAGGGGCGTTAATAATTCAGGGGGGCTAATAATTCTGACTTCAACTGTATGTATATTTTATATATGTATAATGTATATAATGTAATATAATAATTTTTGCATCATTACTCAAGCCAAACGGTTTTTCTAAATTCATTGTGATATTTTGATTTGATGGAGCATTTTATATTTATTATATAATAATATTATTATTACTATTATTTAAAAAAGCTGAGTATAATGCATTTCATTTTTGAAAAACACAGTATAGTGATGGGGACACTAGGGGAGCGCGGGGCACAAAGTAATGCGGGGTTAAATGTAACAGATTTTAAGATATTTGCTCAGAGTTAACCATGGCATGTTTCCAAGGTTTTCACCAGTGTTGGCAAACGTCTTCCTGCCAATTATTGAAAAAGTTTAACGCAATTTGGATGAGAAACACATTTTTGCAGCATAAAAGTATTTTTATTTTGGTCAATATTTTACTTTACTTAAAAAAAGATGTTTTGTTGTGATCATCGTCTTCTAGGCTAAAAGATTGAACCATTTTGAAAGATGTGGGTTAGTTGTAATAGGGTGTCACAATTAACCCACACACTTCTGCACACAAATTAAACTAATAAAATAATTGTTTGAATTTTGAGTGGACTGTTCAAGACTTTTTATATTAAAATGTTTTTTAATATAAAATATTTGTTAATAGAAAAAAATATATATTTTATTGCTAATAATGCTAATAACTGATTTGTATAATAATGGATAAATGGATAATAATACAAATAGATTCAAATGTGTTTATCCAATAAACAAATAAATAAATAAACATACTGTGCTATGGAGAATAAAAAAGAGCCAATTACTGAGGAAATATAGCTACTATTTAAAGTAAACTGAATTTAAACTAATTGTGTGAAATCTGCCTTTACAAACATGTGTCACAACTAACCCTCTGACTGTTACAACTTGCCCCGCAGGTGGGGCAAATAATACAATTTTTACTCCTGGCACTTTTGGCAATACTGCTCAGAAACTATAGGTCTGGTGATCATAATTGCAGTGCTTATTTGTAGGAGAGGCTTGTGTGTTCTTGGCAAAAAAATATGGTTTGTCTAACCCCATTACTTTGTTCATTATTTCACCAAAACCAAAAAGTGTTACTTTGTGCCCCGCTCTCCCCTTTATACAGCAGCTCTGTCCTTTGGATTGTAGTTACATTAAGTGCCAGAAAAAAAATTAGGTCTCCAAAATCCTGACCAAACTTGCCACCGTTTTTTCTGCTTCCTAAGCATCATCATATTGTCTAAACGGCTTCATCATTCTGTCTCCTCTCCACCAGTAAGCTGGTGGCTGCTGCACACTGGTGGTGGTTGTGGAGACTTTACTTGAGTAATGTGTTAACTGTATTCATTTATTCATTCATTCATTCATTTATTCATTTTCTTGTCGGCTTAGTCCCTTTAATAATCCGAGGTCGCCACAGCGGAATGAACCGCCAACTTATCCAGCAAGTTTTTACGCAGCAGATGCCCTTCCAGCCACAACCCATCTCTGGGAAACATCCACACACACACTCACACACTACAGACAATTTAGCCTACCCAATTCACCTGTACCGCATGTCGTGGGACTGTGAGGGAAACCGGAGCACCCGGCAGAAACCCACGCGAACGCAGGGAGAACATGCAAACTCCACACATAATCGCCAACTGAGGTGTTAACTATATAAACTCAAAATAGACAAATTATCTATTTTCGACTGACCTTGCAAATTTATGCTGACTCAGAGCCAGAACCTTCCCTCTGACCTCCGCCACTATCTTGCTCTTATCTTCTGGTCGCCCATGCTCCAAAACATGCTGGATAACATAGTTACCATACTGATCCTGCAGATAGAAACAGGCACAGGAGAACGGAAGGGACATTTTTTTAGAACATGTAATTTCAGTACATATATAAACAAACCTGAGATAGAAGAAGAGATGACTGATTAGCACAAGAAAGTCAAGCAAGGCCATTTTTAACCACATATCATCATACAATAAATACATCTTAAGCTGAAAATCATTTAATGATGTCAAAAACAGCAACCCATGGCCAATAAAAAAAAAATAAATAAATACACTGTCTTGATCTGTCATATATATATATATACACATATACACATATATATACACACACACAGTTGCAAACAGAATTATTAAACCCCCTTAGAAATTAATTTTTTAAATATGTTCCAATGATGTTTAACAGAGCAAGGAAATTTTCACAGTATGTCTGATAATATTTTTTCTTCTGGAAAAAGTCTTTTTTGTTTTGTTTCGGCGAGAATAAAAGCAGTTTTATATATATATATATATATATATATATATATATATATATATATATATATATATATATATATATATATATATATATATATATATAAACACATACACATAAAAAAAAAAAAAATATAAAAAAAA